CCACTGCAGGCTCACCTCAACCTTCCACAGTCTGTATGTCTCTTGACGTGTTGAGGTCTGAGTAAGAAAACGAGCATACGCAGACACGACAGGCACAGTCGCACAGCAGGTAGCTGGTACGAACAAACGAAAGGCAGTACGACATATACACAGAGACACAATTTCGGGGACGCCGTCCCGGCCAAGCGATGAGGAATCCGCGCAATAAGAGAAGGGAAGGTCACAACTCGGTTGCATAATGCAGTTAAGCAGGGACTTTTGCAGAGACGCGACATGCAGGACCGGGACAGCACAACGACCTGTGACTCGGTGGCTCGGTGGCCAGCAAATGAGATACAACTTGCATGCACCGCATCACAGTTGATCATGACTCGCCGGGCGTTTTCTGCTCGTTTTGTGCATTACTATGATGACGAGCACAGCAAGACTCTGTAGGACAATAACCGGAAACAAAAGAACAAAAGAACTAGTAAAGTAGGGGGAATAAAAAACCATAAATAAAAATAAAACATGGCAAAGAAGAGAGAACAAGAAAGATCGGCTGCAAATACGAGGACGGCGACAGGGCATAACGTGGACATCAGCGGTAAAAGTCTTGGCTGACGATATGGACAGAGTTCGATGGGTCAAATGGGGTCCAACCAATTGAGCGATTGTGGTTTCGGGGGCAATGCTGAGGCTGTGGGGTCGGCGGACTGCGCGAATGAAAGGAAACAGAAACAATGGCCCTGTATTATACGACAATAGTGCGCTGGGATGTCGGAGTACGGAGTACTTCCGTCGCAGTCGTATTTTATGTCATTGGGTTTTCGTTGGCCTGCGTGATAGCCTATCAGCTTTGCATGTTTGTCTGCCGCATTGCGAGACGCGAAGATCGAGGTTGGAATACGAGAAACGAGAGATTGGTGTGCAGAATACAGAGTACAGGTACAACACTGGCGAGCACGGGAACCGGTGATGTGAAACTACAACATTCAACATATGACAGCTCGGGACGATGGAGGTGTGTCGATGGAGCACGCCGTAGGCACGCAAACGAGGCAAGAGGCAGCCAGTGTTGGGCAGCAAGTGCTACGGTGCAAGTCTTTCCTGCACGCGTGGATCGTAGTTGCTGTCTGTGGCTTTACATGTTGCACGACAGGCAGGCAACTTCGCAGGAAGGAGCGACTACGTGTCTGCCGAGGACAACCCGACGACCAACGACCAAACAACCGGTACACAAAAAGGGACGAATGACTAAAATAGAAACAAATCGCCAGCAAAAGTCCAAAAGTCGCCAAAGTCAGTTGCTGGGACGGTGTTTGCCTTGGGTTGGTTGTGGGGCAAAACGATCGACATGATGCTAGGGCGATCGGCAGGCTCACTAAGGGACGGCATACGGAGTACTCTCGTCCATTGACAAAGAAACAATAGTGGACGAGTCGGAGTCGGATTAGGTCAGACATCCCGGCGGCAGAGGTGAAGAGGGACAACACGAGAACGAAAACAGGAAACAAGTTGTCAAGGTGTCAGCAGGAACAAAAACGAACAAAATACCGTGTCCGTCCGCGTGATGGGGCAGGACGCGGACTGGCAGCTGTCCAAAAATAGGGCAGCGTAACGAGGCATCGGGACGTTAGTTTTGCGAGCTGAGTTTGAGGGAGAGGCCAAGGGAGGAGGGAGGCAAAGAAGGGAAAAGGGAGAAAAAAAACAAAGGTAAGACACGAAGCTGTCAAAAGCCGAGATCCACGATCCACGACTACGATAATTAGTTTCGTGGTATTGGTATTCCGCACCTTGGCTGCCACCCTTTTCTTTTCTTTTTCTTTTTCTTCTCTTCTTTTCTATTCATAGCCCCTGTCTTCATGTCTTGGACAATAAAGAAATATGAGACATCCACAACATCATGGTGAGAACCAAAACCGGGTTTCAAGCCTTTCGGTACCTTTTCTTACCCGCGCTTTAACCCGTTTCGTTTTTCGTATTTTTGATTCCGATATCTTTTACCCTTACCCGTCCTTTTTTCACGTTGCGGCCGTATAAGCTCATTCTCCACAAGGCGTACCCGCCCCTTCACTACGTCACGTCTGCCACGCCACCCACAGACGGCTGCCCTTTACGTTCCCTGGCTCTTTATATCCGCATTGTTCTCGACTTGATTCACATATTTATACCGCGTGTCTCTCCCTTCCTTTTGTCCAAAACAACAACGACAGCAGCATCAACAAGAACAAAGAAAGTACTGCAACCGTTTACCCTCCGGCGCGACTCTACCAACTCATTCTTCTGTTCCCGTCAGTCATCATCTCCGCCATTCCCAACCCTCTTCTCTTCCACAAAATGGTCCGCTCAAGTCCCCGTGCCCTCGTCGGCCTCTTGGCTGCCTCGGCTGCCGCCACCGCCTCGGCCGCGCCCACCGTGGCCGCTCGTGGCGACGCCCCGGCTTGCGTGCCCCCGCCGGCGGGCACCAAGTACGGATGGTCCATTGGCGAGTTTGTCTTCAACAAGTCCATCACCTTCAGCACGCCCGCCCACCAGATCGACGGCGGTGTCGTGCAGTTCAACCTGAGCAACCCGTCGCTGGCGTACCCGGCCGTCTGCGCGGCTTACTCGTCGCAGCTGTCCGAGTTCTTTTATGGCAACATTGTCTACAACTGTACCACCGAGAACCCGGACACGGCCACGGCGTTTACGTTCAACGCGCCCACGGGGCAGCTCAATGTCAACCAGTCGTGGATGTGCATCGACCCGGACAACGGCCCGTACCCGACGACGTTTGCGTACAAGGCCAGCGTGGACCTGACGCCGGCGTGCACGAGCTCGAGCTACAAGAACCCGGACTGGCACATGGGCGAAATCTACAGCAGCAACACGACGGCGTGCGTGCAAAAGGACGTGACGTTGTTGCCGCAACCGCAGGCCGAGGCGTAAAACAACACGTACGGACGCCGATGCGTTTGTTGTCTGTTTCATTTACTTCTGTTGGGATGGTCTTTCCTTTTCTTGCTCTGTTTCTTTCTTTTTCTCCGCGCCCTCCCGGTAGACGACGCGTTTGAGACCACGGCACACGAATATGGCATAGTTTGGGATTCTGGTCTCTGGTTTTGGTTTCCTTTTGGTCCTTTCATGTGTACCATAGTAACTAGATTTCATTCTTATCAAAAGAACACGCGTGATGGACGTGACAATTCTTGTATACAAAACAAATAAATGCAAGTGGATATCAATACGACAAGTGCGTCGCTATGCTTCTTCTCTCCCCAACCCCCTCCCTCTCCACCCCGACTCTCCTCGCGGCCGTGTCTCGGCAAACTCGTCCGACGCCGCCGTCATGGACCGCCGGCCGCTCCCGCTGTCAAAGACCACCGCATCCTCGTCGTCTTTCAGGTTCAGCCCGCTCTGGCTCTCGTTGTCGTTGATGGTCGGCAGGTCGTGCAGCGGGTAGGCACCTTTGCGGACGCTGCTGCGCGCGCGGCTCGTGTTGCTGCTGCCGCCGCCGCCGCCGCTGATGCCGCCGCTGATGCCACCGCCGCTGCCGCTCATCTTGGTCGCCGGCCGCCCCGTCAGGGCGCGGATCAGGGGCCGCAGGGTGGCGATGCTGGCGCAGAGGATGCCGCAGTTGAGCTCGATGGTGGTCCACCAGGAGGTCGGGGCGTTGTCCCAGGTGCCGTCGGTAGAGTTGAGGGCGGCGTGCAGGGTGAAGAGGCGGACCATGGAGATGATGCAGGTGAAGAAGCCGAGGCAGAAGAGCGACATGACCAGCACCTTTTGGCGCAGGGGCAGGCGCAGCTGGCGCACCGCGGGGATGGGCACGAGGAAGAGCACAAAGTCGGTGACAATGTTCATGATGGACGTGAGGTACCAGACGACGAGGCTCTCGATGCAGGTGGCGGCCATGGACGGCACAAAGAGGGACACGGGGATGCAGGCAAAGGCGACGAGGAACTCCTGCGTGACGCCCCAGGCGAGCAAAAAGAGGATGAGCCAGAAGCAGACGGCGCGCGTGTGGCCGTAGAGCGCGTCGCGGAAGATGCGGCGGTACTGCAGGAGGAAGGCGACCTTGGTGCAGATCTGCGACAGGTTGTACAGCACCTCGCCGGCGAAGAGCGCCTTGAGCTGCACCATGGTCGTCGCCGTGTCGGTGACGAGCCAGGCGTGCCGGCCAAGCCCGTGCTGTGCCTGCACGATGGTGGACACCGTCACGCCCAGCGCCAGCACGGCCGCCACCACCATGGTGTAGTCGTCGAGTCCCGGGGCGCGCACAATGGCGTGGCGCGTGTACATGCGCAGCATCACGACAAGGGACGAGGCGATGCTGAAGGCGACGGCCGTGCCGATGAGGATGGGCACGCGTGTCTCGGCGTCGAGGGCCGGGTTCTCTCCGGGGATGTGAGACATGGTCGACAGGATGTTGGTCGGGGCTCAGGCGGCGTGGATGTGGCGTCGTCCTGTCGTGGGTCCGTAGTGCTACTGTGTTGCCTTTTCAACAAACAGTGGACGGTTGGATCGTGTTGCGATGGGCGTCATCAGTTGCTACGAGGCAGCCAAGGGATGGTGATGGTGAGAGTTGGTCGATGATAGATGGCAGACGTGGATATCAGTCTCCACTCGGCGGCCAGCGTCCCATCCGGGATCTGAAGTATCTTTATATCTGTATGCGGGCGATCTGCAACGGCCACTGGAGAGAGCCACTGGTCGAGGACGAACGGTTGTGTCGTGTGTGTTGTGTGACTGGCGTCTGGTGTTGTCCGGGATAGCAAGGACCTCTGTGCGCGAGGGTGAACGAGGAGAGTTGGATATAAGTAAAAAGGAAGGAAAGAAAAAGACAGAACCGAAAAAGAAGGGGGAAGCAGCAAGGATGAAAAACGGTAGTTTACATGAAGACTCGGACGAAACAAACTACAAAGTCAAGAAACTGAAATCAAAAAATCAAAAGGTAAGGAAGCACATAGTCAAACCCTACAAACGGACGACGACATACGTGCCAAGGAAACACACAGACGTCGTCGCGTTTTGGCCCTTCACCGGGCATGCGCCTTTTCCAGTTGGTTTTTCCTAAAGGCGCCTTGTGCTTGACCTACAACGGTAGCCTTGTCGTCCTTTGTCGTCTTTTGTCGTTCATCGCCAACTGAACAAGTCGTGTGGCTGCGTCGTATATCGTACTCTAGCATTCTCCGTACCGGTCTGGGTCTGGTGCTTCCGGGACAAGGGTCGACACGACGACGGCAGGCATAACGAGGCATCTGGGGATGGTGGGCCAAGAGTCCCCTGTTCTCGCGCTTCCCCCAGATCCCAGTTCCCCTCTCCTCCCCTGTTGTCTCCAGTCCACAAGCCACGAGCACGTCCACCAACCACCATCTCGTCTCGCTTGGACGAACTCGTTTCCATCTCTTCCCTCACGGCGTAACGTCCAGGACGAGGATAGGCTTGTCGGTTGGAGCCCAGGCTGGGGACCCTGGGTCGATGTTGCCATTTGTGTACGAAGTCCGCCGCAGAGACGGGAAAACAAGTGCTCTCTGTCAGGAGTGCGCGGTTATACATTCTCTCTTGCGAATATCAAACGGATGGCCGTCGGCCGTGACGGGACGGGAAGAGATGCAGGAAGGCGGCGAGGGAAGAGGAGAGGGCAGGCCTGTAGGAGCGTGTCTGTCATCCTCTTCGTCAGTCGCCAGTCGTCAATTGACTGCTTTCGGCACATCTTGCCTCACTGCATCATCGACATACAACATACATTACACAATGTCAATTCCATGTCTGTGTGTCCACCATCTCTCAGGGCTTTCGGAAATCATTACTTTGCGGGGAAGGCGTTGCGTCGGGCTGGACAGGCTGGTCGATACTACGCAGTAGGGGCAGGCAGGGTATTTCGTACATGAAGAGTGTTCGTCCGCCCGCTCGGGCCTCCTGGCAGACGCGGGACTCCACCTCCACTGTTTCGTCACAATGTCACATCTTTCCTGCCGGTGCAAAGGTAACAGTTTGTGTACGAATTATGGAGTCCACGTACAAAGTAAAGACAAGTGTGCAGGGTATAGCTGCAGAGAGCCGAGTTGGGAATACTAAATCGTGGCTGAACTTTGTTCGTCCAAGGCCGTCGTTGGCACAGAGCCATTTCGCGTTAATCGTGACAAGGCATGCCTGTGCGGGCGAACTGGTCGAGTGGAGAGCGTCACATCGTCTTCGAGTATAGCGTCAGCCTTTCTGTCTGCATCGTTTCTTTGGCAATAAAGTTCTGACGGAGAAGGCAGAGAACGACGACAGAAAAGCGAGAGAAGAGAAGAGAGAGGACGGAGGGCCGCGCCAAGGCTGCGAACGGACAGCGGCAGCAGACAGTGCAGACGGTTCAGAATGCAGACAATACGGGCAGAGTACGACTGGACGTGGACCAGAGGGGCCAGCCGCAGGAGTTCCCAATGCGAGACAAGAGGAGGCGATGAGGACATTTCGTTCTGCCACGTCAAATGTGTACGCAGTACAACTTTTCTGCCGTGCTCATCTTTCGCCATCCGTGCTGATCCGTCAGAAACCTGACTCGAGGAATGCACATCCGGGCCTTTGCCGTTGTTTTCGTCGCTTGCGTGTAGCTATTCGAACAGAGGACAGAGACATTGTCGGTTTCAGATCGAGACGTTGTGTGAGAGGCCCCATGTTTGGATTGACTTTGTTGAACAAAAGCCAACTGGAGGAAAATCATCAAGAATCGGCTCGACAAGCCTTGGAGACGCACGAGCGCTGACTGCACTGCTCTGACTGCCCTCAGGACACATTATTGCTCAACTCCCGACGTGTTGTTCATCGTGGAGCAAATCTCGCGTCCCCTTTCCTTAACTGTCATATTTCAGTTTCAGTTCGTCAGTCTCCACAATCCCCACAACCCCATTCTCCAGATCGTAATCCGATGCTCGGAAACAAAAGCAACACAAAGGCAGTGGAAAGCAACGAGAAAAGAAGAAGCCATCTCTGCAACCCATGCACCAATGCCACAAACCACGTGTTTCAAAATGGACTCGTCGTACGCTGTACTACGTAGAGAATCTGAGGACTTGTGATGACCCAATCGGAGAAATAGTTGAATGGAAGCACAGAGACGGAAACGTCGAAAGAGCTCTCGACAAGGTTGCACCTATGTCCCTCTCCCCCCAAAACAGACGGAGACCGGAGACAGAGGCTTCCAGGTCCCTTAATATCGTCTCGCGGACGGGGATGCAAAAGAAAGACGGGGCTGCATCTAAGCAGACTCCGCAACTGCCGTCAATCGTCAAGGTAGCAGTTGTGTTCAGTGCCCTCGCTTTGAGTTTCTTTCTGGCCCGTCCTGTCAACCTAGCGTTGCACCCGTTGCCGTGCCTTGAATTGTGGTCCTTTTTTTTTTTGTCTCCATTCTCACAGTGACGGCTTCGTCCCGGTTGGATGGGAAGAGAAGCAGAGTTGTATTTCTTATTTCTTTTCTTGTCTTTTATTTGTAAAGTCTTTAGTTCTCTCTTTCAATTTCCCACGGCAAGAAAGCCACCGTCAAACTGTTCCCTTCAGCTCGAGTCGGCGGCATTCTTCCGGCCTTTTGCAGCACTCTCTTCGTCAAAAATGTCAGCCACATCTCTCCTCGTCTACTCTTTCCACGTCGCCATGTTGTCAACAGACTGTGGACGACCGGGGAGGCCAGCTTAGGGGGTGCGTCCTGCCCGTTGCCTGCCCATCCAACTGATCCACTCCCGGTGAAGAAACGCCAAGCCTTTGCACATCTTTCGGTCTGTGCTCTTTTGCCTCCTCTTTCTATGTCTTGGCAGGCCAGAGAGAAGACAAAACGGCAAATTGCAAGTTGGACATGACGAACTCCACGGGCCTTTCCATATTGATCGTAGCGCAAGGTGGTAAACCTGGGGAAATCTGTTGATTCATTAATTGACTGTATTCCGTACCAGGAATATGTTTTCCGAGGCGACTACCACTTTGCGTTACCACTGTAAGACAAGTACGTCCAATTGTAGACGCATCTCCATATCACTGAAATGATTGCCAGACAAAGGTTATGATACAATTCGTAAATTGGCAAAAAATGGACAAGTCTAGAAGAAAATAAAGTAGGAATCAAGCTTTCAGTAAGTTGCCTAGTGCCCAGCCAAGACAGCTCGGCCTTGGCTCCATGTCGAGTGTCGTATCGCCGCCTGAAAATGCCAATTCAAATGCACCAAGCATGGCCTGATCATGATCTGTCTGTCGAGTGATCATATGCTTCGAAATGGTGTCCCGCATCGCTATGCTCCTGCCTGCCGGCTGCCCAAAAGTCATTCATGATGAAATCGTCGCCGTCGCCACATCACTCCCCCCCAAAACCATTCTTGATGAAGTCCTCACCCAGGGCCGCATCACCAGCCTTGCCACATGGCCTGCCGCCACGCCTGCTCCCGCGCATCGTGGTCCACCGTCGTATTCTGCTCTGCCGCTGTCGCTGCCTCGCTGCCAGCCCGCCAGCTCTGGGAGTTGGCATCCGCATCGCCGGTCGGGCTGGAAATGGCCGCTGCAACAGCAGACTGTCCCGGAGCTCGACGGACCCGCGCCATCCGTGGTGCACGCCGTGGTGGAGACGGCGACGCCGCCGGCGACATGGCCAACATATTGTTGTTGCTGCTGCTGCTGTTGTTGTAGATGGGCATGTGCTGGCCCATGCCCCGTCGGGCCGTCTCCAGCGGGCCCAGCAGGTCGACATTGAACCCGTCCTCGTCCACATCCTCATCATCCGCATCGGCCTCGTGGACGAGCAAGTCGTCTTCGCCCGAATTGTCGTCGTCGTGCCAGCCAGTCACGCTACTCTCTTCCTCCTCTTCCTCTTTCTCCTCCTCCTCCTCCTCCTCCTCCTCCTCCTCCTCCTCGCTGTCGTTAATCTCGTTGATGCTGGCGTTGGTGGGTTCGGCGCTCGTGGTGCTAGTAGTAGTAATAGTAGCCTGGGGCTGATCAGCTCTGCGGTCTGTGGCTGTAAAAGACGTCGACCCTGAATCCGTTCTCTTATCTGCCTCTTCTGCCTCTTCTTCCCTGCCTGCCGAGCCTTGCCCGACGTTGTCCTGCATATCGTGTCCCCGTCCCTTCTGAACCGATGTCTGCCCCGATTTGACCTTACCTTGGTAGTCGCTATCCAGGGGTACACCACCGGCGTGTTCTTCGAACAACATGCTGTCGTCGGCATCGTTGCTATTATCGTCACCATGCCCTGCTTGCACGTACGACGCGTAGTCGACTGGATCGGCCTGCTGATCAAAGCCGGTACTGTAATGCCCGTACCCTGCAAAGTAGTCGTACTGGCCCCAGTTGGGAACGGCCGGGCCGTGAGACCAGGATGGCTGTTCCGCGGACGGATAATAATCAAACGACGCCGTGGTGTAGCTGTCCTCGAGGCCTTTTGTTGCTGTTGCCTGTGCTTCTTCTTCTTCTGATTCATCCTTCACATTTGTTGTATTTGCCTTCGTTGTCTTTTCTGTCTCTGCTTGGCTTTCAAAGATGCTGCCCTCGCGTTCACCTTTGGCCGGGCTGCCGGCTGCTTTGTCACCTTGACTTTGCTCCCCACTGCCCACGCTGTAGTTTGTGCCGTTCTTGGTCGCGGAACTACCCGTGTCCGCACTGGGGACCCATTCTGACGCAGATGGATTGTACGTGAACGAGAGTCCTCCCTCGCCCGCTTGGATGGTATCGCCGCTGCCGCTGCCGCTGCCTTTTGTGTCGTCGGAGCTGTACCACCAGTAGTTGCCAGTCGTGGCACCGGTCGTCCCGGCCGCCCCGGTCGACCAGCCATGCACTTCATAGTCTTCATTGACCCCACTGCCTGCTACGCCGTACTTGCTCCCGTCGTCCTCAGCGTCATCCTCGTCGTCGTCCTCATCACTGTGGGGCTCCACATCGCCCTCCTCCCAGCTGCACCAGCCGTGCCACCCGTCTGCCGCATTGGCGTCGTCATCGCCGCTGGTACCGAACTCATGGGCGCGCCACCGACGGCACAACTCGCCCAGTGCTGCGTCCTTTTGCGCCTTGCGCTCGTGCGCTTCTTGGGTTGCGGCGGCCATCGACCGCGATTGGCTCATGGCGCCGTCAATCTCTTTGTTGGTCTGGGCCAGTTTGTGCTGCAGACCCGCGAGGGCGCGCTGGCTCTTCTCGAGCCGCTCCACAATCTTAGCCGGGTCGTCCGTGACAGGCAAAAGCACTGGCGGCGTCGGTATCGCCACGGCCGCGCCTGCCACATAGGCGTTGTGCCACTGCTGCGCGACTGCCAACTGGGCCTCAAGTTGTGCCTTCTTACGGACGACGAGGCCCATCTGGTCTTCGATGGCGTGCACGGTCTGCCAGAGCGCGGCGATGACGTCTGCAACCTTTTTTGTGGCGCGTCCCTGCTTCCGAATGGTTCTGTCTTCCGCTCGAATGTCTTTGCGAGCCTGCTGGATCTGCTTCTCGAGCACATGATCCTTGGCCGGCGGTTCCTTGGGCCACCGCGGTTTGTTGGGCGGCGACGGCGGATACGACCGGCCGCTGTAGTGTGAGTTCGCGTAGGCACTCGTGCCGCCGCCCCCCATGGGGCCGCCGTGCCCCGGCCTCGTCCCCGCGTCCTGGTTGCTAAAGAACCCTCGCGTGCTGTCTGTATCGCCACCATCCACGGCAGCCGCCCAGGGCATCGCGCTTTTGCGCGCCGGCGGCGGGCCCCTCGGGTTCATCATTGGAGGCGCCCCAGAGTCGTTCTTATGATACGAATGCAGGCCTTCGCCCCCCTCATTGTGGTCGTGCCGACGCTGCTGCTGCTGCTGCTGTTTTCTCCGCAGCATCTCGGCTGCCGTCGCGGCCGCAGCCGTCGCCGCGGCCGTGGCGTACGCGCGCCCAGACGACTGCGGCATGCCGGCCGCCTTGCCGGGTCCCCGACCCGAGCCCATGCCGGCCGCGCCTCGTTTGTACATGAGCTGGCGGTCGTACTCGGCACGCCGCGCCTCGTCTTTGAGCACGCTGTATGCTTCTTGGAGAGCCTGAAAGTCGGCCGTCGCGTTGGGATTGGCGCGGTTCTTGTCCGGGTGCTTGAGCCGTGCAAGACGGCGGTAGCTGGCGGCGATCGAGGTGGTGTCGGCCGTCATCGCAATCTCCAGCACGGCATAGTGGTCCCGGCCGCCAGCGGCGGTCCCGCCGGTGCTAGGAGCCATCCTTGGAGGGAGGGGGGTTGCCTGTTTACCTGGCGTCGAGCGACTCTTGTATGTCGTTGCTGATCCTTCGACAAGCAAGGAGGGCTCTGGAGATCTTGTTCGGCTTCAGCCGGGTTAATTCTCTCGCAGTGAAATTGTAGCTGTCTTGGGTAGTCACCTACCAGAGCTCCGGATGTTATGAGGTTCAATCAAGCGAAACTGTCGATGACGGATGCGCTATCTGTACGGAACGAAGGCAACGGTAGAAAGCAGAATCCTCGTGGTACAGGGTCTGC